ACATGACACCAGACAGACACAAACCCTTATTGATGTTAATGGCATCATCTGTGTTGATGTTAATCTCGGCTTCTCCGGCTCCACAATCAGTACATCCGCCTCATATTATTCTTATTGTGGCAGACGATCTTGGTAAGTATGTATGATCTTTTTCTCATTTGATCTAGTAGTGCAGGATGACCTTAGTGTCTTACCGGGAAATTATTTACAGGCGTCATTTAATGCAAAACTTTCACTTATATATAACTTGCCTTTCTCTTTTGTAAATAAAGTAGGGCTGTTCAAAAAAAAATGTTGTTTGAGTAATAGAACAGAAGTAGATTTTTTTGTGCAGTCTATTGTGTTTGTATTTTGATAACCACTATGACAATTGCAGTTTTAAACACAAGCATAATTATCTTCTGATCTACAAATAACCCGCACATAAAAGAGAGAAGCTTACGACAACGTTTCGGTCCGACTTGGACCATTGTGACTGTCAATGGTCCAAGTCGGACCGAAACGTCGACGTAAGCTTCTCTCTTTTATGTGCGGGTTATTTGTGTATCGTTCCAGTCACGGTATTGTGCCTTTTTGTTATTTATTATCTGATCTATTTTTTCGCTTTGATTGCCTGTAGTTACTATCTTATATATTTTTCAACCAATGTTGCACGTCTGAGCAACATTAAATTTCACTATTTTATTGATACATGTCTTGTGACATATATAAATATTTATAAATATTATCATCACATAATTCACCTTGAAACAATGAATGAACTCAGGCCTACAGAAAGTCCTTTATATTATTTACATTTATGTAAGAATAGTTTTCATTGATTTCAGCTTGACAGTTCTAATTTGTTAATATTTTTTTGGGTAAATATTCCAAAATATTAAAAAAAATCAGTAATAGGACCCCTAAGTAACCTATGTACAATAAGCATAACTTTCTCCAATTTAAACTCGGTAAAATTTCAATAAAAAATATTTTTCATTGTTTCTCAAATTTGCTTTTATTTGTTTTATTAGAAAAACTTACTTATTGTCATTATCATTATGCATTTTTTCTCACATTTAAACTTCAGAATTAAGTTTTGAAGTAAATTTCCTGTTTTTAACATCCAAATAAGTGATCTTCAGTATAATACATAATAACGTATGCAGTGTGCACGTTAGTAATTTTTTACGAAATCTTCTTGGAAACCTATATAAATATAGAATTATTTGTTTCCCTCGGTATTTCCCTTTTTTTTTTTTTTTTTTTTGTCGTAACTATTCATGAAACTATCATAAAATATAACAAGTAGATTTAAACTAAAAAAAAAACGAATTTATTTCGTGTTTTTCAGTTGTTTTTCTAATTAGTTATGTAACTTCTAAAATAAAGCCGCTGGTTTACTAATATAATAATGATATAATAAGGACATAATCTTTAATAATATAATAATGGTATATTAATGATATAATAATGACATATTAATAATATAATAATGACATAATCTTTATTACTACCAGCACATGTACAAGGTATACAGACCATAGTTGACATCACTGACATACTACTATATAGAAAGTCCCTTGTTATGCTGAGTATTTACAGTAAATTAGGTCAGTTTTGTCCCAGGATGCGACCCACACCAGTCCACTAACACCCAGGTACCCATTTTAAATTAATGGGTGAACATGGACAGGGACAGCAGGTGTCTTATTGAAACACGTCCCTAATGTTTTCCAGCCGTCCCGGAGGAGATTCGAACCCCGGACATCATTGTGTGAGCTGAGTGCTCTAGTGATCGAGCTACAGTAGGAAACACCCTATTAATATTTTAATTGTTTACTGACACTTGCAAGTTTATGCTCCTCGGAACAGTATCAATTAAATTCTTCGAAGTCGAAGATTTGAATTAGATATTTCATGGACCCCATTTGAAATAAGTTATTTTATCTAACTTTTTTTGGGGGGTTATTGTGTGTAATTTACACGTATGTTACTGATGTATGATTATCTGTGTACCTGTACCTAAATAAACTTACTTATCCAGTAGGTGGTAATAGTTAACAGTAAAGCTGATGTGTCCTACTGATGCAGGCTGGAACGACGTCTCGTGGCATAACCATCAAGTGAAGACACCGCAGCTGGAGGCGCTGGCCAGAAGCGGCGTCCTGCTGGAACAATCATATGTTCAACCCATTTGTACTCCCACTCGCTCTGCACTCCTGGCTGGACGTTATCCTTTCACCCTCGGTAGACAGGTGAGTCCAAGGTCACTGCTGCTCATTTGCCTGTTCATCAGAAAGGTGGTTATTAAAACTGTATATTGGGCATGAGATAAGAAGTTTAAAGGTGGCTAGGAGGGCTCAGGGAAGTATTACCCATTCATCACCTGAATCTTGAGAGCAACAGTTTGCTTGAAGGATAATTAATTTTCTTCAATCTCAGTAACAAAGCATGTCACTTGCTTTAGATTTTAATAGGTTAGATAGCTCAGTAAATATTTATTTGCCAATTAACAGTACAAAGGCAGAGATGAATAAGATGAGTCCATTTTAACCCAAAGAATAAAAATATTTTGCTGCATATTTTTGAATGGTTTGCGCTTTATTTTGTGTGGAGGAAGCTTTTAACTGTATTATAGCTTAAAATGTACATGCATGGTAAAAATGTACATGCATGGTAAAAATGTACATGCATGGTAAAAATGTACATGCATGGTAAAAATGTACATTCATGGTAAAAATGTACATTCATGGTAAAAATGTACATTCATGGTAAAAATGTACATGCATGGTAAAAATGTACATTCATGGTAAAAATGTACATGCATGGTAAAAATGTACATGCATGGTAAAAATGTACATGCATGGTAAAAATGTACATTCATGGTAAAAATGTACATGCATGGTAAAAATGTACATCAGTACAATGTCATGCTGTAAAATACATCATGGTAAAAATGTACATGCATGGTAAAAATGTACATTCATGGTAAAAATGTACATGCATGGTAAAAATAAGATTGTTGTATGCCTGACACCTATCCATTCTTTTTAGTATGAATTTTATTCATTCTTGCTAAAATATATCATTCATACATTCTTTCAATCTGAATAATAATGATAGGCAATATAATTGTTATATTTTAAAAACTAAAATCTGGATAACGTTATTTAAAATTATTAGGTGAGAAATTACCTGGGAAATTACCTGAGAAAAGCCTGGTCACAGACCGGGCCGCGAGGGCATTGACCACCGGAACCCTCTCTAGGTATACTCCAGATATACTCCAGCATGAGGTTTACAGGATATTACCTGAATTATTACCTGCAAGTAATTTGGGTGAGGTAAGTGGGACTTAGTCACAGTGGGTCTCAAGACTGTCACTCCCTCCATGCCCACTTCATCACTATTCTCACAAAAAGCTAGACCTATATTAAATTAATAATTACAATATTAAAACCAGTTACTCTGGTAAATTAAAATTGTGGAGACTCTATATTTTGGTTTGCTTACTGGGTACACAAAATATAACTATGAGTACAATACATAAATACAATGGTGTTATTAGAAAAGAAATTCGTATTAACACTTAACATTTAATCACTGGATCTCATTCTCAGCATAATGAAAAAATTGTTCATATAAATAGCAGACATTATCAATGTCAGCAGTGTTACCCTGGTCCATGAGTTTTTTAAGTGCACTTCCAGTTGTAAGGCCTCGTGGAAGTCTTTGTTTACACAGAGCACGACGCTGTTCATGTGTGAATGTATGATAGGTGACACCACCACTCACATTCCCTCCTACATTAACATTACAAGCATCACTATAACTGTCATCACCAACACCACTACCAACATTGTCTTCATTACATTTATCAACAGTATTGTACTCAACATTAATGTCAATGTGGTTAACCTCATCACACTCTGCACCACCACTTATATTACGCTCATCACTATTACTAACATCATTGACACCATAGCCTTCATTATGATGCTCACTACAGTTATCAACACAAGTATTATATTCGTCATTACTATAATTAAGAACACCACCACTACCACCACCTCCTCCACCACCCTTACACTTGCTTTCACAAAAGTCCCTGGACCAATTATGTACCTCTGTAATCTTTTGACTACCCCCCACAGGATGGGTATGGGGTGCATAATAAACATATTAAACTAATTAAACTAACACACCCTAATGCTACCTTAAAAGCTAGAGTTTGCGATGGGAAATGAAAAACTGCTATACATTATGGGTAAGCATCACTTAACTAAGGTGTGTTGTCGAGAAGAATCGTAGTCCCCTGTTTTTCCGTCCTTGTACCCGAATTGTAAATGTTTTCCACACTATTTATCCCAATTTTTCAACGGGAACATGTGAGCAAATCCTAGTTCATGGATTGAAGCTGATTTACCCTAGTTGAACCTAGATGATGCCTGATTTCATGACTATTGTAACAACCAGTGCACACACATTAAATTCCCTATGGCGTCCTTACCCTCCTTGCCGCTGTTCCACATCTTCCCCTCACTCGAAATTTCTCGGATCAAATCAGCATCACATTTTAATACACAGTTAATATATTATTCAAATTTACACATGTTGAATTTAAGAAAATTCAAAATTTTCCACAATTATAATACAGTGATGTCATTCTTTTGTTGAATTCTGACCAGCAATACAACATTACAAGATATTGAGAATTAAACAGTATTAAAAAATACTGTAGAAGAAGAGTACATAGCTGGGTCATATCAATTAACTGTGAAGAATCTATTCAAAAAAATATTTGTGACTGTATTTTTCAGGAAGTTAGTCCTAAACTTACCCAACCCCTTAAAATATTCTTAGAATGTGAGTGTCTGACATATTGGAGGTTCACCTTAATTTTTTACACTTTGAAAATAGAGAACTCTACATAAATTATTGATATCGCAATCTTTTTCTGGCCCTGAGATGTTGTAACTCATTCTTGTAGATGTGAATCTGTCAGCAACTTTCCCCAGTGATGTGTGATGTTGTTGAAAATATGTTATTCTTGATTTAGCACCTACCTGGAACTTACCTGGAGAGGGTTTAGGGGGTCAACGCCCCTGTGGCTCGGTCTGATCAACCAGGCTGTTACTGTTGGTCGCACGCAAACTGACGTACGAACCACAGCACGGTTGATCAGGTACTGACTTCAGGTGTCTGTCCAACTCCCTCTTGAAGACAGCCAGGGGTCAATTAGCAATCCCCCTTATGTATGGTGGGAGGCGGTTAATCAGTCTTGGGCCCCTCTCATGACACCCCGGCTTTTCATTATGGCGATGCTGCACTGCCAGCCGGACCTCTTGCGTCGGTATACATATGTTAAGTACTTAGGATAATTTATTCCACACGGTTCGTCCTTAAGAGATCGCGTCCCGCTGTCGGTATCACCGTTCATGGGGAATTTTGGAAAGTACAACATCGGAGAGTTGGTAGAAATGAGAATATCCCGTTCCTCTTCTGAGTTCTGGTACCGTTATGAGGGAAAACTGTGATAGGTACTTAGCAGTAGTGTGTTGCAGGCTCTGCATACGAGTATGTTTACTCAGGCTTAGGTATCAGCAACATTTGCAACATTTCAATGATTACAACGTATATATGAGTTAGGAAAATCTAAGAAAACCAATGAGAGTGTCTTATCGCCTCTGGGGTCCTAGTGCTTAGAAACATTGCAACTCTCATTCATAGCAACATATGTGTGAGTCACCTAAGATAACCCCCTCAGGGGTTCTAGTTACCTAGGATAACAATGGAAGGTCAGATGTAATAACTTACCGTAACTGGGGCCTGAATGATAGGAGACATTCAGACTTTTAAGAATATCGCGAAATATACAGGATCAGGTAACAGCAAGTGTATCACATAGCATCATGTATATGATAGCAACTCTTACATATAGCAGCATGTACAAGTTACCCAGGATAACTCAAGTTATTCCTGATGATACAAACATTCAGGGTTACAAACATGTCTAGGAATACAATTACTATTGCATTGTTAAGTAAAAGGACACAAGCGCAACTAATGTGACATTTTATTGTGGCAACGTTTCGCTCTCCAGGAGCTTTGTCAAGCTGTTACAAACAGTACATGGACACAGAGGGTATATATAGGCTTAGAGTGTGGTGTAGTACTAGTGGTAGTAGTAATAGTAATACTAGCAGTAGTAATAGTAGTAGTAGTAATACTAGTGGTAGTATTAGTACTACTACTACTACTACTACTACCACTAGTACAACACCTCACTCTAAGCCTATATATACCCTCTGTGTCCATGTATTGTTTGTAACAGCTTGACAAAGCTCCTGGAGAGCGAAACGTTGCCACAATAAAATGCCACATTAGTTGCACTTGTGTCCTTTTACTTAATATATTGTCGGAAGACAGAAGAAGGTAATCATGCAAGGATATTTGTATGGAATCTTCTGGTACTTTCTGGAACAGTCTCTGACATATGGTAGTATGGAATCTTCTGGTACTTTCTGGAACAGTCTCTGACATATGGTAGTATAGGGTGACAAAAAGCACAGCTGATTTATATATTAATACAAATTTACATAAAATCTGAGTGCTTCGACAGGCACTAGATTAGTTGAAAGTGATTAAATGCGGTTTTGGATTGACTAACACTTTCTGTAAACCTCGGAGGTTCTCTCTCCTGTTATTCCAGGAGGTGTGGATAACTATCTGGCGGCTCTACTGTGGTTTCGGTCTACTCTGGCACGTTTCTACCTTGCCTCTGAGAGAATTTTCCATTCTTATCTGTTGCTAAACTTGCAACAAATAGGAGGGAAATTTCGGAATTTCGTTTTCCTGTTCTTTTACAAGGACACAGCATCTGGTTCACTACTCTGATTGCTGGAGAACACAACCCATAATTCTTAGACCATAGCTGACATCAGTGACATACTTCTATACAGAAAGCCACTTGTTATGCAGAGCATTTCAATTACGTCCCAGGATGCGACCCACGCGAGTCGACTAACATCCAAGTACCCATTTTACTGATGAGTGAACAGGGACAGGAGGTGTCTTATGGAAACACATCCTAATGTTTCCCAGCCGTACCATGGGATCGATCCCCGGCCCGGACCTCAGTGTGTGAGATGAGTGCGCTAGCAATGGAGCTACGGGACACATTTTTCTCATTTTGAGTTTTTCCAAGTCATTGGGGAATGTCACTAGGCAGGGAAAGTGGTATCTGACTATCAAC